TTGGTGTTAGCACAGTTGTCAAAATGGTGGACCATACTAAAGTAAATAATGGTGATTCTGTTGGCAATTTTAAAACTCGTCTCTATCCACATATCCAGCCATAACTTCTGTTTTTTACAGGGCTATTCACTAACGGATGAAGAGTTTGCAGAAGGCGGGAGACGTGAACAATCTAGGACAACATTACTGATTTGGAAAAATTATCCAATTCAGCTCACATTCCAGTTCAGCTATATTGTCCTAGATTGTTCACTTCTCCTGCCTTCTCCAGACTCTTCACCCTTTTGTGAATAACCCTATTAGTTTTGAATAGAAAGAGGAAAGGTGATAAATAAGGAGAATGGGTGTCACTGGGACAGGATGACTTCAACCACAACAGAAACCTGACAGAGTTTTTACCGTTCTTCACTTTAGTTTAATTAGTATTTTATTGATTTCTCTGTCCTCACTGGAAAGAGTTCCCATCTTCCTATCTTCTTGACATTCTGTCAACATAACAGGAAGTGAGGGAAAATCTTTCCAAGGGGGTAAAGCCAACGATAAACATCTGATGGCGCTTCTAACCCAGGGGTAAGCAACTGGGGTACTCCAGCTGTGGTGAATCTACAAATCCCTTCATGTCTCTTGAGTGCTATGATGGCTTATGGGACTTGTAGTTCCACAACAGGTGGAGTGCCAAGGTTGCTTACCCCTGGCCTAACCCTTTTCACTTTTTCAAAAAAAATGTTTTCATGAATTCAAACCTGGCATCTACATAATTTTCCTGTTTCCTATTCCGAACAATAAAATCCAGGATATATTACACTAGATCATTGCTTATTCTCTCTCTCTCTCTCTCTCTCTCTCTCTCTCTCTCTTCCCCTTTCTCTCCTCTTTCTCTTTCTCTCCCCTTTCTCTCCTTCTCTACCTTCTCTCCCTCTCTTCCCTTCTCTCTCTCTCCTCTCTCTCTCCCCTCTCTCTGCCCTTTCTCTTCTTTCTCTTCTCTCTCTCTCTTCTTTCTCTTCTCTCCCTTTCCACCTTGTCTTCTCTCTCTCTTGTGCGCGTGCGCGCGCTCTGTCACTCTCTCTCTCTCTCTCTCTCTCTCTCTCTCTTTCTCGCTCTTTCTCTGTTCCGGAGCTATACATGATTCTTAGTATTAATATGTTATTTGTGTTACTATAAAAAATAATTTTATAAAACAAGGTTACAAAAAAGAGCAAACTATAAACGATAGGGTAAAACAGAAAGTATTTGACATTCTTATTATATAGAAAGAATCATTCCATTGTAACAGAAAAGCAGGCTTTTAAAATGATGAGCTATTAAAATCAGTAGATTTTACGTACTTCTTTGAAATGAGGTCGCAGCTAGTATTCAGTCATGAAAATCACACCATAAATAACAGTGTGTTTGCACTAACTCCTTCCACTACACTGTGTTGATTCACAGCACAGCTTACATTAGGAAACTAGTTTTGACCAGCAGAGTTATAGCGTTCTCAGAAATGGACAGGGATACACGGAAAAGCAAAGATTTCAATCCATGTGCGTATGGATGGAAAATAAAGGTATAGGGATACACGGAAAAGCCATGATTTCAATCCATGTGTTTATGGATGGAAAATAAAGGCATGAGGGCACCATGAAAAGACATTTGTTTTCACAGAAAGGTGGAAGCCTTGATTGGAAGCTTTACCTTCTCAGATACATTTTGTAAACCTAATTAGCTTAAAGCTAATATCCAGGTACCAATGTTTAAGCATACTTACATTGGTCAAGCTTGGCCCAATATAAGTATGCATGCATATAACATACCTGGTCGGCCCACATGGATCCTGTAAAGCACTGTAGGAGCTGGGGTTACTGCATTGCTTTACAGTGATCTTCTGGTTCTTGTATGCTGCTGAGCTGAGCGACTTCCCCTCTGCTCTGAGAACACAGGGGGTCACTCGTTCAGCACAGAAGCCACTCAGAGAACGTCCAGTATTTCAATGAATACAAGATGTTTTCTGATTGGACGAGGGGGAGATCATGACGTCCCCTCATCTGATCATCCATTCAGAGAACAACTACTGCATCGCTTTACAGTAATCTTCTAGGTCCTGTATGCCACTGAGCTGAGCAACTTCCCCTCTGCTCTGAAAACACAGGGGGTCACTCATTCAGTACAGCAGCCACTTACAGAACGTCCAGTATTTCAATGAATACAAGATGTTCTCTGATTGGACAAGACCATGATGACCCCTCATCTTTTCATCCAATCAGAGAACATCTACTACAGTGCTTTACAGGGTCCCTATGGGATCATCAGGTATATGACATGCATACATTTGGACAAGTTGGACCAATGTAAGTATATAAAAATATTTATACGAGGAGTTCAGTTTTATTGCTATAAAAGGAACATGATAGCTGTTAAAATGTTAGTTGTAGCTCAGTGATCTTATTTTTTGCATTATTCTACAACAACAATGTACTTAAAACATGTACTATGACCTAGCGAGAACTGACAAGCAGATATCTGGATTATGTTTAGGAACAATAGAAACAAAATGTAGAAATACTGGCACTGCTGTTCACCTTTGTTATATTGCTTAAATTATTGCCAGACTGACTACTTGGCATTCACCAGAGTGGCTGGGGCAGGGGTAGCCAAACTCCGGCCTTCCAGCTGTGGTGGAACTACAAATCCCATGAGGCATTGCAAGATTCTCAGAACCACAGACATGACTCCCGGAGAGAGATGCATCATGGGATTTGTAGTTTTATCACAGCTGGAGGGCAGGAAATGGGTACCCCTGGGCTGGGGTGTCTGAAAGTATGGGTTTTGTTGACTAGTGTAGTATCTTGGGGGTGGCTTGTTATCATCATTATTCAGTGCACTATTATTGGCATAACAATATTCAACGACATTCTATACACATGTGCATGTGGTTCAATAAGGCTCATGCAAACGGACATATTTGGGAGCAAATAAAGGCATTTTTGCATACAGAGTAAAATACTCCTACATTAGTAGAGAGTATCAGTTGCTGTGGTTTTCTGTCTATAAGCATAAAATGTTGTACCTGGGTGTATGCCCGTAAATGTCCGTGCCAGCATTTGCACGCACGTGGGATACGTTTCTGAATACAGACGTTTCCCCTGACACTGGTGTTTATGGGCAGACAACTGGGTACAGCATTTTATATGTACATGCTGTAAAATATGCCTGAATTTGTGGTTCCCGGGAGCCACAGCCGCAATGGTTTTCCATTCATAGGAACAGACTACCGCTGTGGCTCTCAGGCAGCGCAAATTCAGGCATGTTTTACGCTATATATGCCTCTATTTGCCCCCAAAAAGCCTGGGTGCATTAGCTCTTATGATTTAAAGTAAGCAAAGTCAATGGGGTTCATTTACTAAAAGTCAAAGCTAGAAACTTTGCAAGGGAACTTTCCATTAGTGAATGTGGTTAAAATTCACTATGCACAGAATATCTATTCATGTGCAAGGAAAATTTGTAAAAATTTTATTTTTTTCTTGCACATGATTAGATGATGGAGGTCAGCAGCGCTTCACCTCATTCACTGAGTTAAGAAAAGATTCCCTTGCAAAGTGAACAACATATTTGCCTTTCATAAATTAGCCTCTATGTGTTCACTCCACTGGGTTTACTGACAATTTGTTAGCAAAATATCAGGAACAGTTTTCCGCATATGCCATGGCTGCTACTTTTGTTATCCAAACAGCATGTATTATCACCCACAGTAATTTAATCACAAAAATGATATTAAAAATTGCACCTTTACTTACAGTATAGGTGTTCTGCAACCATCCAATGTAAGAATTGATCCTGATGTACTCCAATTAAAGTGGTGACCAGTTTAAATGAAAATCCCCATATAGTCCTGGCGCTTCTACGGAAAGGAGGTTTCCGTTCCCATAATTATACATTTTACTTAAACCATACATTGCAATACCAGAGTTTGCCAGTGATATCTGGTACTGTGGCTCCTTAGTGTTCTAAGAATGCTCTCCATTAAATAAGAAAGGAATTTAGTTCACCCAACAATACAGAAAGTGCGATAAAGTGCTGCTGTTCACAAGACAATAACAGAATCTGAATTTCTGCAAAAAAAATATTGGAGAATTTCCTTCTAAACTGAGACATGCATTAAAAATGAACTAATGCACTAAATGTTCGACAGTCCACGACTCAGCTCTAACAAACATTTTTAAGGTGTTATTAAAAAAAAAAGCATATAACAGATTCCCAACTCCTGTGCCCATGTAATGGCACAAATGACCAGCTAGGAGTGATTATGTATGTACCCAAGTTTCCAATTTTTTGTGCAATTTAGACCAACAATGAAACAACACCATTCTTTGCATACTCAAAATATAATATTCTGTTTTTAACAACTTGCCAACCAGTTCACACATATATGGTGGGCTTTAACGCCTGGCCTCCTCATATATGCATCCACTGGTCCCAGCACAGTGGCTGAACTGTTACCGATGATCTATGATTGTGAGTCAATGACAGGCTCCACATCATGTGATTGCTATGACTGGTGGTCACAACAATCACATGATTAGGAGCCCCTATCATTAATATAGCTTTAAAGGGATGGTGGCAATAAATTAGCAAGAAAACAATGCAAACACATTTATTTTTTGTTACAAAAGAGGTCTTTAAGCAACAAATTTATTTTAAGCTACAAAAGCTATCATACAAAAAAATTGGGTTTGTTTACTAAAGGGAGAAGGCTATTCACTTAGAAAGGTGAATGTTCACTTTTCAAATTGTATGTTAGTTAATAATTGAAGTTGTTTTCACAAGGAATACCCAATCATATGCTAGAAAAAAAATATTTTTTTAATTTACCTTACACATAATTGGGAAATCAATGTGAACACAGCTTCACCTTATTCACTAACATTCACTAGGTGCACAAGCTCTACTCCTTTAGTAAATCACCCTCAGCATCTTTCAAAATGAATGATAATAATAAATAAAGAGAATGTCATGAAACTTACCGGCACAGATACTTCATGGTTACTCTTCAGTTTTCCCAATATAGTATAGCCATCTACATTAATTTTTCCTCTGGGAACCAGCTTGAATGACTCCACTTTGATGCAGTCAATGTAAAGGGTAAGTCTAGACTTCTCCACACTGAAGAGAACTTTGTGGAACTTGGTGTCAAACAAGAAGGGGAGCTGGTTAAAGGTGATTGTGTTCAACTTTCCATCCGTTCCTTTATAAGAGAACTCAAGAGCTTTTTTGGGGCCATTGAAATTAATTGAAGCTTGCTGCCTCCCTTCTGAGTCCACAATTTGCCAGATAGTCCAGTATTTGTTCTTTGAGCTGTCTTTCATCCGGAAAGTAAACATAAAGGAATATTCTTCTGGCAGTCCGCTAACATAGATGTGCCTATGGGATAAAATGTTGGACACTATACCAGTTAATCAGTAAACAAATTATATGAAGTGAATACCTACGGTACTATTAGGGTTTGCTGTATATAAGAAACACACTTCAAATGCCAGCCAGCAGATTTCCATTTACTTCAATGGTGAAGTTTGGGTGACTGAGATTGCATTTTAACCAGCTTTGCATTGTGTTTCTCTGGAAGCAGCACATTGAGATGTGTTTAATTAAAAAAGGAAGCCTTTTGCTGTGTTTAGCATTCATGTTAATACATTTCAGCACTGCTGTGCTTGAATAAAAAAGCCAGTATTTAATACCAATGCTCCTGTACACAAGGCCTTAAGCCTTATTTACATGTGCGGCACAGGAGCAGTAAAAACAGGCAGTAGATCCGCATTTTTGCCCCCGATCGCACACCTAAAACCTAACATGGAGGCTGTTCAGGTGGTGCTTTGCTTTGTGGCACACCCTATAACGCATTTCATGTTTGGCAGACAGTGCCGCTTGCCAAAAATATTAGTTGAAGTCTACCATCTTGTCTTGAATTGTATTGTGATTGTAATGTCTTCCTTATATTGTAAAGCGCTGCGCAAACTTTTGGCGCTATATAAATCCTGTATAATAATAATAAAGTCAATGGGACCAGGGTGCAACCGCGTGCCAACCACTTGGCATGAAGCTGTGATGCAGTTTTGCAATGTAAATTCCCCCTTATGATAAAAACAAATTAGCATTCATCAGGTAGCAGTATCACCATCTGAATGCCTGCAAACCACGCTATCAAAAGTGATCCACCGCCAATCACATTTCAGAGGGCAGTACATTTCCACTGCGTGTGTAGATGAGGCCTTAGATGGGATAAAGTTATTTTTTATTGGATATAATACTTGGTCCATCTACACAGAAATTAATACCTGAATCATTTGACTGTATTCTGGTTATATAACAAATATAAATATAAACTGTTTGTACCCTAAATAGTCTTTTAAATCACTTAATTCCAGGCAATCTATTTTTTCAAGATACACTATGACTATGGTATCTGTAACTTAATAGTAAACTCTCCATAAGAATATGTGTAGAAGGCACTCCAGAGAGATGAGAAAGGGAGGCTCACAGCAATGTCCCAGGGACAGGAAGTGGGATGATATGTCCTCAATGCTGACAAATACAGCAATAAACCATGATGGAGAGTCATCTACATTCCCACTGTACCCAAAACCTAAAAATAAATTTTCACTGGAATTATTTTCATTCCTTCTTAACTAAAACATTATCAAAAGACAAATATTGGATACATGATAGTGTATAAATGTAATGTGTCAACAACTATGCTATCTGCTTGTTTCAAATACATCCCATTATATACATTTAAAAGGAAACCAGAATGTAAGGGTTGATTGTGGTAACTTTCAAAATCCCCTATTCTAAACCTACACTATTGCCATGCGCTGCTTACACTGATTTCCTCTATCATAACACCTAAAACAAATATAATTCCTGCTGAAATCAGGAAAGCTGGGATATTGTTGAGCAAAGCAGTGTAGCCCGCCATGGGAAGCAGTATTGCTCTACAGTGTAGATTAAAGACTACATTAGAGTATCTTTGTAGTAGCAGACTGGCATTGTGGTAGCACTGAACTACATATAATTTACTAATGCTTCAAATGGATTTAAGCTTTATGTTCTTAATAGAGGACTCCTTTAAATCAGAGAGAAAGAAGACACTGCTGGCTAATAGCTATATTTTTATACAAATAAAATCTTTGATTTGAATAAAATCCGTAATAGACCAGGCAACATCTTACTATTTACTTCCCATTCCAATATAATCTTGAAAGACGCAAGAGGCATCTCGTTCAAGTATTTAAATTGCGAAAACCAGAATACATGTATTATGAATGTAAATGGTTGGTTTAAGTAAAACTGTGACTTTGACAACTGTACCAGCAGCAGAAAACTAGGACCCACTGCAGATGTATGTCTCACAAGATGTTTCAGCACCATCATATATGAACAGCGCCAGTACACATCTGTATATTGCCAAATTTGTCACTAGATGGCGCTCGTTCCCAATAAATTGAAATCTATTTAACCCATGAATACACACCATTCCAGCTGTGGATGCATTGTTGCAATGTATGTTTTGTTTTGCAAGCCAACCATGTTTTCATTTATCTCTATATGAGCAAAATATATTTTATATAACCAAAGTGGTCCGATTAGTAACCAAGATACTGAGACCAAAACCACTGTACTAATTAGATGTACATAATCGATCGTGCCACCCAATTAACAAATAGTTGTCCAGGGACTTCTGCTTGTTTTGCACCGCACATCTTTCCCTAATGTGTCTTCTACCAGTTCTAAAGCTAATTAATGAGAATTATACTATAAATGAAAATACACACCTTGTCAAAATTCTGAAGTCAACATTGGGCCCCAGCTGGTAGGCTACTTGATAGGGAGAAGTACCCACCACTGACTGAATAGCCCCGACAGAGGCAGCTTTGTCTATTTGGAACTTGGAAATCAGATCAAAGCCTAGAACAGGAAATAAGAAACTCATGTTTATGGTGTAAGAGATAAACAACTATTAATGACTTGCATCTGCACAGGCTTTGATGGTCGTTTGTCTTTACATCGAAGCAAACACAAAGCTAAAAAAAACTGGGCAATCATTAAGCAGCCTTTACTATCACATCTTACAGAACACAGGGATGGAAATGACACAATTAATTAAATAAATAGGCTAAGGAAGTGTCCTTTCAAAATACCTATAGTCTTCTGACATAAACTCTTCAGCACGAAAATATTTACTCTTTACTTACCAGGAAGGTCATCCTGTCCACCATTAAGGGGTGGGCATTTGTGCTGTATGTTGTTGAATTTTAGATTGAAAGGGAATCCTAAAACAAGACATTGGTTTATATTAGAAGTAAGCTTTAATATCAGGGTACAATCGCATATGATATTCTAGTTTTTCTGAAAGTCACAAATGTAAGTTTAGTAAAACTAATTTGAATGACCCAAATGTAAACTGAATGCAAAAAAATATTATATATACTTTACATAGAAATGAATGTTAGCTATTTTTATGGGCTGCAAATAAGAGATCATTGTTTTATGCATTACAGTTAAAATTAGTCTGAAATGTGTAATCAATTCCATATGTTGCCTACAGTAGGGATGCCTGGCCAACTCAAAACAAGCCACACTGTATATGCATTCTTTTACCCCGAGGGCATAGTAATCACAGTAGTTATACAGTAATCTGATTGCCACCACATCCATTACAGCAGGAGTGTTGAGCATAGGCCATTATGGGCGAGAGCCATCATCATTCAGCTGCGGTTTATTTACATTTACAAGAAGTAGAGTGGGGAGATCAAATGAGGGACCACCTTAATCTAAACACTCAGTGGTCTGCTTGTCTGAAAGCAGCTGCTGTGAGCAGGAAAAATAAACATTTTCTTTACAAACGGGCTCAATATGACCCAAAAGCAGCTTGGAAAATGTTCCTAAAGTCTGCTTTGAGTAAAGGCTGGAGTTGTGGCCTCTGGACAGAGCACCCAGTCCTGCACAGAGAGCTCTTTCTACACAGTGACCCAGGCTGTACAGTTCTTTCCTTTAAATAACATTCCCCCTGCAAAAACACCTTTCAGTCCTAATGCAGCATGTACTGTATCTGCAATTACAGCTACCTGGCTGCCTGCCAACCTTAAAGGATCAAAGGGCAATTCATGCCAGGTCTAGTGAGCTCCACCTTGTAGGATGACTCTGGATAAAGCACAGAGTACCCTGTGCCTGAGAATCTAAGAGGCAGCAGCATAAGAAGCAGTGAGTTACATTGCAATGCACTTTTACATACATCATTGCCCAATGCTATCCGCACAATGCTGCTAGTTCTACACAGTGGCGTAACAACCGGGGGTGCGGGGGGGTCACTTGCCCCGGGCGCAGGACTGAGGGGGGGCGCCGTCACGACCCCCGCTAAACGAAGCCATGGCTCCCTCTCCCTGACACATTCTACAGCAGATCCATCTGTGTTATCTACTCTTACTCACAAGTCACTTCATTCACTTACTTGTATAATGTTCTATGGTAGCAGATACCAAGGGTCCCAGGAAGCTGATCAGGTACAAGGCAAGTGGAGCTTTCCTGTTGAAACAAACTTTGTTAAGTATACATTGATGTGTACAAAGTAATAAATGCATGGCAGACAAAGTGTAGAAGTGTCCCATCCACAGTGTTTGTCCTATAGCTCTCAGCGCAGGTGCTGACAGCTAAAGATGTCCCAGGTTCAATTCACAGACATGTGCCATAAGTTGAACTTCCCTCCTCCACAATAGTTCAATTCTTGCTCTTACCAGATGTCCTTCATGATTCCTTTTTCCTTGGCATTAGATCCCTGGTATCCCTAGGCACTAGTCTTTTTCACAGGCAATCTAATTATTTATAGGGTGTATCATTTTCTAGAATTTGGGCTACCAATCAGGAGAGGACTGCTTAGCTTGGGACTCCACCCCATCCAGCTATTTGCATGTTTATACTGTGGCTGTGTGTGTGGATGGGCTGCTGTTGGAGGGGGCTCACTGAGGGGTCTGACATGAAGCGTCAGTGAAAGGTGGGCACACTGAGCATTACACAAGAGATCTGTACCAGAGAGCTTCATACGATGTACTGGATGTCATTATCCTATAATGATTAAGGGTTTTTCTTCTCTATACATTAAGCGTGTGATTATTGACAGAGTGCATTTCTCAATCAGGGTCTAATCCACTCAAGTTAACAGTTTGCAGATATACTCTATTGTGAAATCCTGAGAAACCTTTTCTTAAAGTGTAAGTAGCAGTAAGGATGTACAATAGTGTAAGTAACCCATAGCAACCAATTAGGTTGCACTTTAATTTGGTCGCATGAATTAAGGAATTAATTCTGATTGGTTCTTGTAGATTTTTACTGAACACACTTGTAATTGTTTTTCATTTGTAATAATACCTACAGATAATGTTTCCTTATTGCAGTAGTAGGCAACCTCAGTACTCCAGCTGTTGTGGAACCATGAGGCATTGCAAGACTTTTACAGCCACAGACATGACTCCCAGAGGCAGAGGTGTAATGGGATTTGTAGTTTCACCAGAGCTGGAGTGCTGGGGTTGCCTGACCCTGCCTTAATGAATTTCTGAAGAAACAGCTCTACCCTAAAGTGACACTGAACTCAGTTGTAAAGTAGCCACTGTTCCAAGCTCTATCCTGTAATGGACTATAATCTCAATACAAATTAGAATGGGATGCACTGATACCGATACCAGTATCAATATCAGTGCAGATACTCGACATTTTCACGAGTACTCATACTCATGAAAATGCCCAAATACTAAAAGCCAATAGCAGCCCTTTACATTTTAAATAGATTTGGCTGCCGTACGTGGACACCACAGCGGCCTTGCGGGGACCTCGCAGTGGCTGTTTACAGTACAGGCCGGTCGCACATCTCTTCCTCCTCTTCCTTCCCGCTGCCCGCACAGCCATGGTAAACCCGGCACAGCTCTGGTGAGATCCACACCCGCCTGCACAGCGCAGGTGAGATCCGCATAGCCCTGGTGAGGTCCGTACCCACCCACATAGCCCTGAAGAGACTCGCACCTGCCCGTTCAGCCCTAGTGATACCCGCACACACAGCCCTGGTGAGACCCGCACCCACCAGTACAGCCCTAGTGAGACCCGCACCCACCAGTACAGCCCTAGTGAGACCCGCACCCACACGCAGCCCTGGTGAGACCTGCACGCTGTCCTGCTGAGAATGCAAAAGTTTTGGTGAGAACGCACACAGCCCTGGTGAGACCTGCATGCAGCCCTGGTGAGACAGCACAGACCTGGTGAGACCGAATGTAGCCCTGGTGAGAACGCACAGCCCTGGTGAGACAGCACACAGCCCCGGTGAGACCCACACAGCCCTGCTGAGACTGCAGCCAGCCCTGGTGAGACCACGAACAGCCCTGGTGAGACCACACACAGCCCTGGTGGGACCCACACACAGCCCTGGTGAAATCGCGCACATCCCTGATGAGAGCGCACACAGCCCTTGTGAGACCGCACACAGCCCTAGTGAGACCGCACACAGCCCTAGTGAGACCGCATTTAGTCCTGGTGAGACCTCACAGACCTGGTGAGATGCCGCACGCAGCCCTGGTGGGACCCACACAGTCCTGGTGAGTCCGAATGTAGCCCTGGTGAGAATGCACAGCCCTGGTGAGACCGCACACAGCCCCGGTGAGACCCGCACAGCCCTGCTGAGACTGCAGCCAGCCCTGGTGAGACCACGAACAACCCTGGTGAGACCACACACAGCCCTGGGAGACCACATGCAGTCCTGGTGGGACCCACACAAAGCCCTGGTGAGATCGCCCACATCCCTGATGAGAGCGCACACAGCCCTGGTGAGGCCGCACAACCCTAGTGAGATTGCACAGCCCTGTTGAGACCAGATGCAGCCATGGTGAGACCGCACGCAGCCCTGGTGAGACCGCACGCAGCCCTGGTGAGACCGCATCCAGCCCTGGTGAGACCGCATCCAGCCCTGGTGAGACCGCACACAGCACTGGTGAGACCCACGTAGCCCCGGTGAGACCCCAAACATTCTCCTGAGACCCTGCACACCCATAGTGAGACTACACACAGCACTGGTGAAACCATGTACACCCCTGGTGAGACTGTGCACAGCCCTGGTAAGTCCCCACTCAGCCCTGGCCAGAACCCACACAGGCTCCTGAGACTGCACACAGCCCTGGTGAACAACACACAGTATGTAGCTTCATATTATTCTGCATAGCTGTATAATGTATTGCTGGGATTTGTAGTTCTATATAGCTGATAGTATTCTGCATTGCTGTATAATGTATTGCTGGGATTTGTAGTCCTCCATAGGTGGTGCCATTATACATTGTTGTATAATGTATTGCTGGTATTTGTAGTCCTCTATAGCTGGTGGTATGCTGCATTGCTGTATAATGTATTGCTTGGATTTGTAGTCCCTCTATAGCTTGGAGACAAGGCCAAAACTACCAGAGGTGCAGGGCCCTGTCACTTCACCACTGTCCTTAAATCGTTAGTCTGTATTGTTTTAGAAAAAAATGTTCCATGACACTAAATAAAAGGCAATTGTTAATTGGTATCAGCGAGCATTTGAGGAAAAGTATCGGTACTCGTCATAAAACAAAGGTATCGGTGCATCCCTACAAATTAGTAAACTAAATGTAATATTGTAGTGCATCACAGGAGTGAGCTTGGAGCAACACACACAGGGATCATGGGGGTACAAAAGTAGCCACCCTCCAAAAGGAAGGACAGTGTCAGCACCAATTCAGAGATGATTTAGATGATTTGAGGATCTACAGCTGAGTGATACACTAATAAGATACATTTGTGTTAATAGTTAAGGTACCTAAATGTACTTTTAAGCTTTAACTGGAGTTTAGTGTGAGCTTCATCTCTTGCCACTGAGAGATTTAACCACTTACTACCAGCCTCCTCATTAGGCTAGAGCTATATGGAAGAATTTAGGTAGCTAAATTTGCCAGTGATCAATCATTAGGTGTAGTCATTGTTTGGTAAACAGAAAGAACAAGTAGCTCCCTGTGGAGAAAGTTACACAAGTAGCATGTAGTTGCAGCTTTTAGTGATCAATTGCACATGATTAGAGTATTGTGTGAACTTGTAGGCAGCACTTTGGTGCTGGGGTTAGCACAAGTGCTGGGATGAGTGCCCAGGGTGAAAATGCCAAACTGTGCCCAAACTGTGGAACATGTAATGGGGATAATAGTAGCATGCATAGTGCGCCATGCTGAAATGTATGTAGCATATGAGATTAAGAGTGGAGCACTCTCTGCCCCACAGTAAGCCGACAAAAAATGTGTTTAGTTTAGTTTTGTTTCGGATGTTTTGTTATTTTGTTTTCTGGGATTTGGGTCTGAAAGTCCATTCGTTTCGGCATTCGGATTCGGATGAATCCAAATTTTGTTAATTTCTGATGAGGTAAATGATCATTACGAACTAAGATTTGTCGCAGAAAAGTGGCATTATATGTTTACTTTGTTTCTTTTTACTTCCTGACACCACAAGCAAACAAAAAACAAAACAGTGTGCTCCCCCCCCCCCCCAATTCATACCAGACCTTTAAGGTCTGGTAGGAATGTTATGGGGGACCCCAATGTAAAAAAAAGGAGAAGTTTGGGAAGAGTATAACATATTCTTCCCAATACTTAGAGCTGGCATGGGACACTGCAGCTGTCATACACCAGCTCTAAGACTGATAGCTGACCGATCATATGACAGCTGATCAGTCAGTACTGAGTCTCTTCTCACAGCAAAGTCCAGTGACTGCAAGTCAGTGTCACTGCCCCCACATGGATTTCCCTCTATGTTCCTCCAGTGCTGGCTGGAACTACAGGATAGAGAAGGGGTGCATGCGGCCCCATTCTCCTGCCGGCTAGCTTCCCTGGGCGATAGATGGATGTAAGCAGCCAGGACAATAGCTAGACTGCTATTGGCTATTTTAATTTGAAAATAGCCAATAGCATACTGGCTATTGAAACATCACATACTGAGCAGAGGAGTGGACCTGAGAGATAAAGATGTCGATCAGTGGGTATTTGAAATAGACGGGGGGACCGTGAGTGGGTGGGTCGGTGAGTAGTTGAGTCTGCGCCCTAGGCGGCTGCCTAGTTTGTCTAGTGACAGCACCGGCCCTGGTCACAGAAGTAGATTAGTAAATGTACTCTTGTGATCTAAAATAGAAGTATAGCCGAAAAAAAGGTTGGATATACTTCTCTCTTTTTACAAGGGTCTCACAGTAATGTATTGTCCTTGGTTTTTCCGCTGGAGCCAGTTACTTCAAGTCAAAGGCAATTCGATATTTCAAGAGGATAAAATGTGTACAGTTTGCGGCTATGCATTTCAATTGTCAATAGATGGAAAAGTTCCAACCCTATATGCTCTCATATTAATGTAACAAATGTGCTTTATATGCTCAAGTATAGTCTTCCAGCAAAGGTGTACTTTAGAGTCCCCCAGAGGGGCTAATATACTAACTGCAATAAACACGCTTTTACAGTCATTCTTCACCGAGCAGCTGGGATCTGAATTTGAACAAAAAAATAAACTTTGTTTCAAATCATTTAATATGCATAAAAACATAAAAACAAACATCCTACCGAGGAACTAATGTTCTGAACACAAAACCGATAGTGACTTTATTAACATTGTTTCGAGAAAAGATAATTGTATATAAAGTGCTTTAACAGAACAGCAGAACAAAATTGCATTGTATATTATTTACTTTAATTATATTTTGTAAAGCATATAAATATTTGATGAAACACG